AGGATCAGATTCTGAAGGCCCATAAATCATATACAGAGGAATTTGGTATTTACCCTGTAAAGGGGCACTGGCCACTTTATGGGATTGATGTGCTTAGGTAAGAACTGTGGGGATGCAGCTAATTTCACACAATGATCAACAGAAAAAGTTTGCTGGACTAACCAGTTTTAACGGAGAATTGACTTTTGCTCTGATGACTAAAAAAATTTCAAGGATCACTTGAGGAACAGGAGTGAAATTCTTCACTTTGAGAGTAATACTTTAATGTAGAATGCTTTTCTTCCTTAACAATAAAAACATGAGCCCAGGGAAAGCTCTGGTGTTGGTGTTATCCTTATTAAGATCATACTTAGTCAGGAATTCTCTGGTGTTCCAGTGGCTAGGACTCCATGCTCTTACTGCCAGGGACCTGGGTTTGATCCCTGGTCAGGGAACAAAGCTGTGCCTTGTGACCAAAAAAAAAAAAAAAGATCATACTTAGTCAAAGATCTTTTCAGAGCGTTATGACAAACCTAGCTCTGGTGTTTTGGTTATCTAAGCAGTACTTGTGGTGCTCCTGTAGTCACATCAAAGAGGTGTGACTTAAAGGCAAGACACTAAGAAGAGCCTTGGTAATAGAAGATCTTACAAAAGTGACAAAAAGACGATATAATTCTGATGCCTGGCCCACCTATGTTTCCCTTAGTAAATGGAACATAGATTTGTTTATTCAGGAATAATTTATTGAGTATCTGTTAGGTGCCAAGGACTGCATTACAAGCTGAGACTGTGCATAAAAATAAGATATGGGGGCTTCCCTGGTGGCGCAGTGGTTGAGAGTCTGCCTGCCGATGCAGGGGACACGGGTTCGTGCCCCGGTCCGGGTAGATCCCACATGCCCCGGAGCAGCTGGGCCCGTGAGCCATGGCCGCTGAGCCTGAGCGTCCGGAGCCTGTGCTCCGCAACGGGAGAGGCCACAGCAGTGAGAGGCCTGAGTACCGCAAAAAAAAAAAAAAAAAAAAAAAAAAAAAGATATATCGTGACCCTCAGTGAGCCATATTTCCACCCCCTGCAATAGAGAAATACCATCCATAGAATACCGGACATTTGCATTACAGCTGGTTTCCAGTGGTTGGACTGAAATGCTAATTATTTTTATTTCCTCCGCTGGAAGTCTGCAGGCCACAGTCCCAGGATTGTCACCTATTTACCCGACTGAGCATAAAATGGTAAAAGAGAGTAATCAAGAGCAAAAGCCTGAGGTCAGTTTACCGGCACTAAATTGATGCTCATCCTAACCTCCTTCCTGGGAACTGAGCATGGTCCCTAGTGGGTCACAGCGGCACATCCACGCAACTGTTTGTAAGGTGAGCTGGCTTTGGAAAACCTCAAGGAGAGAGGTCTGAGGGCACAGTCTAGGGATGCAATGAAGCCTAGATGCTAATAATGTGGCAGTACTGGGGACTCCTGGGATCACCAACAGCAGAGACACTTGCCTGGGAGGCAGCTGTAAGGCACAGAAAGCTCTACTGGAATAAAGTACATCAAAATCAAAGAACAACAGCCAGGAAGCCAAGGAGCAAATTCCTAGATGCAGAGGTTGCTGTACTTTGTTCCACTCATACAATCACCAATATAACCACTGTCAGGAATGTCATCTCCAAGTTCAATGGACTACAAGAATGTGTACATATATATTTCAGTGCTATATACATAATGAATATATATATTATATATATAATATATATAATATATATAATATATATAATATATAATATATATAATAAATATATATTATATATAAATACATATACACATATATAATAAAATGTATATTTATAAAGTATGTACACACATATATATTATCTATAATATATAAAAATACATATGTTTATATGTGTGTATGTATATACTTTTATGTATGGAGATACTCACCTATCTGAAGTCGAATAAATGGTTTGTATGTATTTTCCAGAGATACTCTCCTGATATCTATCCTTTGGTGATTTACTAGAAACAAACACATATGGACATGTGAGAATTGGGCTATTTCCCTAGTATTGAAGTATATACCTCTATGCAGGCAAGGAAGCACACACACCCACTCGCACAGCCTCATTATTATTATTCTTTGTGATGTTACGAGCCAGGACAATGTACTGACTCTTTTTTTTTTTTTTTTAAATCTGGAGAAGTATTTATATGCAAGAAACCTCCAAGTTGACATATTCACCAAGATAAATAAAGAATGGGGCAAGGAGAGTGCAAGAACAAGTGTAAGCAGGAAGAGCAGTTATTGTTTTTCATGAAGCTTATACTTGCACCTCCCTTATTTTTACTAAAAGAAAGCTATCTGTAGCCTCACATAAAGAATATACACAAAGCACGAGCCAGTGCAGGCAAATATAGACAGACACCATTCACGTAGAGAAACACTCCTGAACTTTTAGAGAAAGCTTTGGAAGTTTTTATATTTGCTTGAAAACATCCAGGAGTCATTTAGAATGAAAGCAAAAATATTGTAACTTTTACAAGTCCTCTTTGTTCCCTTTCTGCTCCAGTTTGTAAACGTCACTCTCTCCTGGAGACAAATGAAGTGTGCAGTGCACTAACCAGCTGGCTGTACATAACTGCTTCCCCAGTACCTACACTACCTGAGAGCATATTAGGACCAGAAGCAATATGTTCCTATTATTCCATACAGTGAAGGATAACTCCATAGCCCTCACTTGGGGTTTTTAATGAGAAATCCTTCTCTCCCTCCAAACTGCCCGTAGGCAGACTGCTGTTAGAAATAGAATCTACTTTACGGAACACATAGCCCACAATGCTAAATAAAAGTTTGCACATATTTATGCCTGATACATATAAAATTATTCCCATTTTATTGGTCATAAAATTGAGACTTGAATTGAGACAGAAAACTGAAGTTAAGTAGTTTTGCTGAGGCCACAGAGTCAGTAAATGACAAACTAAGATTCAATCCCAACTCTGATTCTAGGGCCTCTGGTCTAATATATACTGCACTGTCAGTGTAGATTTTAGGGAGAATTGGATTAAGCAGCAAAATCAAAGTTGAGGTTGCATTTTACAAGGTAACTTACTTTGGGGTTTGAGGAATCCCTTTTGGGGGAAGGTTGCTCAAATCGAATGCACCTCGAATTTCTGGGAGCCCCGCCCCCATACTCTGCTCTCTGGCCTCTTTGAAATGGGCGATTATTGACACACGCGTGCGTATATCCACATCTGAATGCCCCACCATTACCCTACCCCACAATTAGGCCAATTCTTGTTTTTATACTCCGCAAAATCAAATGACTTGTGAATCCCTGACCTTGTTTGACATTTTCCTCAACATCCGTCACATCAAGCAGCAGATTTTGTGGGCCAGAGCTTATTTACTAAAAGTTATACCCCTTATTTCAGATTAGAGGTAAACAACAGTCGATAGAACCATTTAATTAAAGTGTGACTCCAAATTAGCATAGGAATACTTGTGTAATTTTATAAAGCTTATTAGGGGCATGTATGTTTATGTGACAACTTTCAAATAACTATCCTATTATGTATACATGTATTATATTAAAATATTTTTTAGTCCATTCAGTGAAATTGTATGATTATTTGACGACTTAATAGTGGAAAGATTATAAAGAATTACATACTTATTTATATAAAGAACTTGATATACTCTTAAACGTTCTGCTATTTGAAAAAAGCAAGCATACCCTAAAATAATGGCATTCCTTCTTAAACACAGATTATTTCAAAATTATAAAATATATATAGCAAAATACTTCAAATAAATTTCCAGTACCTATTCTCCACATACGTCCTTGTGTACACAACAGTATCCTTTGGTCCTGCATGCCTGGGTTCAGCATTGGAGCTGCAATACAAACCATTTTACTTCACGTTTAAAGTTTGTTTACAGGATAATCAAATTAACAAGGCAATTATCCAATCCAATGAAAAAAATAATGCTCATATCGTCCTTCTAAACTATTACCTTTAAAATACAAATGTTAAAGTGGTATCAATCCATTTCTGCAAAATTTATTTATGTCTCCCATTTTGTCTTAACTTCCAGAAGTGCCTTGGCCTACTTCCAGAATACTATTATGAAAATCAGTCACTCAATAAGTCTGTTGTAGAGCACGATGATTATTTTGAATATTCCTGTAACATGTTTTAGTGTCTATTTCTCTGATGTCCCATTCATATTTCCAAACCATTGCTTTCCCCACAAATCTCAAGCAAAAAGTCGACCTTAATTAACGAACCTGATAACATCTGATTTAATGAAACCTTTAAATCTACTTAAAGAATGTCAATGCCAGTGTCTCAATCACGCTTTTTTTAAAAAATTATAGACTTTTTAAGGAAAAATCACAGTTTACACTCATTATTCATAATTGACAACTTACCAGTGACCAAGTTGTTTACTCAACACCTTTGTATAAGCCTGCTTAGCCACTGGTAAAATTAAAAGTTTCTGAATTTCAAAGGAAGGATCAGGTTGTATGTGGATGTTTTCTTTAAAAAACAGAAGGAGAAAAAAAAAAAAAACAGAAGAATAGTCCTGTCAGTTGTTTTATAATTGACCACAGTACCTGAGTGTCTTCTGTGCTTCATAAGAGTAGGCAGTGGTTCTAGAAGATGGGCTGATTAAAGCCTCAGTAGACCCACTAACTTGGCCATCTTGCCTGAGAAAGCAAATGCAAATATTTGGCACTAAAAATCAAGGCCACCTAGAAGGTTTTTGTTTTATTAAAATTCTGTTCAATGAACTTTTAAAAATATACAGTGAACCTCTTTCTTGTTTGCCTGGTTTCTGCACAGATACACAAAAAGAATACATGTACGACTTTACTCCTCCACAGAGACCACTATCTTACCTTTAGGAATCATCTACAGGCATGTGTCACATTATCTAACACTAAGACAGAATACTTTTTTACCAAGGGCAGGAACCACCTGAAATTGGTTCCAGTAACATTTTCACAGCAGCAGTGCCATCTTAGAAAGTTTTTCATGTACAACATATCTGACAGTTTATCAGTTTAATGAAAATTATCCAGGGGTTCCTTTGAGAAATTCCAGTTTCCATTTTGTTTTTAACGGAAAGCAGTACTTTGAAGATTGCAAAAGAACTTTGACCTAGATTTCTGCTAATCTAAAAATGTCACTATGCTTAACAAAGTACAGGCATATTTGCTTTTTCCTATGAGACAGAGGAAAATTTTAATGCAGGAGTAGTGAAAGCTTTAGCTCTTTTTCCTCCCCTGTGTTAGTAAACTCTGATATAGGAGAGACATAAAGACCAAGAGGAGGATTTAGATCTTGATCATGATTTATCATTCTTGACTGGCCCGTTCCTTCCATTTCCAGGTAGCTCTTAAAGAAGAAGAAAACATCTGCTCACATAGTATCAACTCTGGCATACAGAAAACCATCTTCTAGTTTTAAGACAGATATTTCACAAAACAGATGTTTTACAGCTGAGTTAAAATGACACTAAGTAATGAGAAAGTAGAGTTAATATTATTAGAAGATTTTCTAATACAATCAGTAGAATATGTCATTCCAGAAAAATGAACCTAGCTGTGAATTGTTTGGAAATATTCAAATCATATAGTATATAATACAAAACCCAATTTTAGCAAATAGTTTCAAAGGACAAAGGTTGTCAATGAGTGTGAAATGTGTCTGTATTGTCCTCAGAAAGATAAAATCAAATATCACCAATTTGCAAAATCTGCAGATAGGAAAGTGAAATAATTTGTAAACAGTTCTGATAAGGATTGAACTGTGTCCCGCCAAAATTCTTATGTTGAATTTGGTTTAATTGCTTTGGTGTATGGCTTTGGCATTTGCAGTCTTTTAAACCTCTCCAGTAAGTCTCATGTGCAAGTCAAGATTGAGAACCGCTACCTTAGAGGCAGCCGGATATCTTACCCAAAGGAGCACTGGTTCTCAAAGTGTGGACCCTGGATTAGCAGGTGAGTCTGATGTAAATAAAATGTGGGAACCAGTGCAATAGAGGACTCTCCACCAAACTATTCCTTAGATGCTTGAATAATATTCCTAAAGAAGAACTTATGACTGACAATGTTTTTTGCTTGACGGCTTTATTGTTAAGACATTACCCTTCATTGAAACAAATTGCTGAATTGTAACTTGCAATCAATGGTCACAATTTTGTTTCTTAATTAAATAACTCCATAAACTATAAAACCAAATATTGTGTTGGAACTTACAAAATTCCAAATGGAATTACACTTGAGAAAATGTTTTCTGCAGTGGAAGTTCACCTTGAAAATTTAACTATCTAGAACCTTCATACACTGCTAGTGAGAACATCAAATGGTACAGCTGATTTTTAAAAGTCTGGCAGTTCCTCAAATGGAGTTACTGTAGGATTCAACAATTTCAATCCCTAGGTATTTACCCAAGAGAAATGAACACACTCTACACAAAAACTTATATATGAATGTTTATAGTGGCATTGTTCATAAGAGTAAATTACAGTCCAACAGTGGAAACAATCCAAATGCCCATCAATTGATAAATAGATAAACAAAATGTAGTACATTCACACAGTAGAATATCATTTGGCAATAAAAAGCAATGAAATACTGAGACATGCTACAACATGGGTGAACCTTGAAAACATTATTCTAAGTGGAAAAAGCCAGTCACAAAGGACCATATTTTATGATTCCATTTATATGAAATGTCCAGAATAAGAAATTTAAAGAGCCAGAAAGTAGCTTAGTAGTTGTCCAGAGCTAAGGGGTTGGGGGAAAATGATGTGTGACTGCTACTGTGCATTGGGTTTCTTTTTGAGGTGATGAAAATGTTGTAAAAGTGATTGTGATGATGGTTGTACAACTCTGTGAATACACTAATCAGAAAGCGTATATCTATGTGGACATCCAATTACTATACAAAGTGAATACATTCATAAAGTAAATCAAGTGTCAGTTTAACAGATCGGCCTATGACTCTGAGATTTCCATTGTCCTATTTGACTTAACCTTGGCAACTTGACTTTAAACAGCATAAAATAATTTCAACTGATAAATACCCATGTCACTGCAAACTTTATAAATCTCTTTTGCATGAAGACTAAAAGCTTAGTAAGAGCTTACCATTTTGAACTGTTGTATGTGTTAGGGTTTACTTCTATAAAACTATCAAGGTTTTGAGCTCTTGTAAAAATTACAGGTTTTAAATATATAAGAAGAAGTCTTATTGGTACCAAAGGGGATAGTGGAGGAGGAGGGGGGCAGGAGATAAATTAGGACTTTGGGATTAACACATACACACTACTGTATATAAAACTGATAATCAACAAGGACCTACTATATAGCACAGGGAAGTCTACTCAATATCCTGTAATACCTATGATGGAAAAGAATCTGAAAAGAGTATATATATATATATATATATATATATATATATATATACACATATAACTGAGTCACTTTTCTGTGCACTTGAAACTAACACAGCATTGTACAATAACTATACTTCAATAAAAATAAATACAATTTAACAAAAGCAGAATTCTCCTGATGAAAAATAAAGAGAGGACTTGAGGCCAGGACACCTCTCTAATTTACTAACTTTCTGCACCTGATCATGTCTCTTACTCTTACTCTCTGACCCTCAATTTTCTTTCTGTTAAATTTTTACCCATTTTGAGAGTCAAGTAAACTTTCTTTTCTGTAGCCCAAATTATATGGGTGCAAAATTGGGCCCAGAGATTTCTTTTTTCCACTTTTTTTTTCACGTGAGAACTTTTATTACAGTTGTTCTTTCAAGGCTGGGGCAGTATCTACATTTTCCATTTAATTTGGAGACAGATCCTGTACAGGATTCGGATAGAACTGAAGAAGAATGAATAACATCTGAACACAGAACTCAGGGATGAGCAAATGATTTTGTAGTGGTGGTTAAGGCCTCCAGACATAGTAACTGACTATGATGATCACCATCCCACTGGAGAGACAGGGTGCATTTGTGAAGGTACGTGTGATTGTTGGGTTCTGTTAGGTAAGAAGCACAGATGAAATTGCAGGAAAGTAAAGGAGAGTGTGTGCGCGTTACAGCCAGCCACGGTGTTTTCCATCCCACAGCCTCTTCTACACAGATGGCCACAACCACACTGCCTTGCTGAAGGAGGCCAGACCTTGGAAAGCTAGAGGAAGGTGAAGTTATGAGGAAAGAGAGGCAGCTAAAGTTCTTGGTTATCAAACAGCTACAGAGCAGAGAATAAGGAAGCCAACAGGTAGAGGGAAGAGCAGCAGAAAAATAGGCAGAAGCCAACAAAGAACTGACAATGACCAAGAACTAAGGTTAAGGTCTGGGGATTCCTGATGGAATGTCCTCTGGTCAAGAATGAACAACCTTCCAGTGCAGGCCTCTGTGAAGCCCGGCCATGCTACCATTCCTGCCCTTGAATTTCCATTTCCTCATTAATCTTTCCAATAAAACCCTGTTTCATGAGCAAGCATAACTCAAACTGAAACACCTCTCAAGTCATATTCAGTGAAATGTTCCTTAATTATACCTCCTCATTTACTTGTCATTTTTTAATCTGGATCATTTCCAAATAATATTTGAATGAGCTTGGTTAATTGTAAGCCCAATACTGTTCCCAAAATAGTGGATCCTACTGAAAATGTATCCTCCCTCATTCTATCAGAGGCTGGCTTGGGATCACAAAAAGAGAAGGCAGAGGATGATTTGGGGAATTAAGGGAACAGAAAGAAACCACCTACCTCTTATATGCAAGAGCCTTTAAGAGATATGAAAAACAGACCAAACAGTGTGCCAGCTCTTTTCCTACTTTTCTACTCTCTTCACTTGATATCAACAATATCATTTCTTTACATAAAAGTTTTTTTTTTTTCTCTTAAACAGAAAAGGCAGCTGTATCTTAGGAAGGTTAAAAATAGAAACTTATTGCTTCTAGGGTCCTCCCATGTGTTGGGAGAAGAATTGCTAAACATGGAAGACTTTTAAAATTCTTTCCTAATTTAAACAATCTGTAACAACAATGAAGTAGAGCTTCTATCCTAACCTTCGTTGTAAAAGAAACAAAGTACAACAGTTTTAAAGCTGGCGTTCTCTGTGATGTAAAGAAATTCCAAAATTAGGTCCTGTTTTGTGGCTGTGATGAATTTGTGCATTCTTTTAGCACTACGTAGCCAAGGAAGAGATTCCCAGAGTGCTTTCTGCACCGCTGAAAACCTACCAAGCAACAGTAAGTAAAAATAAATCTTCACAGCCCATGTGCAGAGCACTGAATTTCCATGATGCCTTTTACAGTAAGCCATTGAACAGCAGGCCCTTAGTCAGAAATCCCAACAGAATTCAAATTTTGCTAACTTTTGTCCAAATCAGTTATTAAGCACCCTGTACAGTGTTTTTCATATTCAGATAGTGTTTATATTTAAATATCACAGTACAGTTCAACTTCTCAGAAAATCTTTCAAAGTTATATAATTTATGAAGGCTCATATAGAATTCATAAGAAAAATGTAAATTATAATAAGCCTTACCTTTCATTTTTACTCTTAGACATATTGGAATTTACTTCAATTAAATTTTCTAGGTCCTGGTTTCTATAGGAAAAAAAATATTTTTTACATATATATATATATATATATGATGTAATTACATACAATTTTAGGAAATAAATATTAGAATAAAAAATTTTTAGATTTGTACAAAAATTTAAACATAGTCATTTGTGGTCTTTAAGAATATGGACATTGAAAATCTGACATCGAACTATTTGTCTTATGCAACTCAAGTATGAGCATGGATTACGTTATGAGAGAGAAATAAAGAACTAATTTTTTGGAAGGTTTGAGAAATCTGGTCTGAAAAGAAACAACTGACTGATATTCACATTCGGCTAACTTTGAATGAATACTTCCTTTGCATCACAAAGTACTAACTTGTGTATTTCCACGTGGGTTATCTCATTCAGATCTCACAAAATCTTGCAGGACAGCATATGGGGCTCAGAAAGGCTAAGTGAATTTTCCAAGGTCAATTGACTAATTTGTAAAAGAGTCAAGGCTTGAGGCTGAGCCACCTGCCCATCTGAAATCAACTCTTAAATATTTAATTAGAGCCTTCATTCCAGCTTTTTGCATGACAGAAATATGAGAAGTCAACCCCAAATCTGAATAAACAATTCATAATGTGGAGGATAAATGGGACAATTACATTCTTAAATCTTGGGCTACAATAGTGATTTGACACACCTTCATGAGATACAATGTTCTCTGGTATGTTATGTATATATTAATTATTTATATATTTGCCATAACGCTGGTAGTTCTTAATTTTTTTCCATGAGTTTGGAAAAGACTTGTCACCAATGCTATTGGTTAGCAGGATGGTTTAGGAGTCAGAGCAAGGCCATTTCTTCTACTTTCTTGGGCAAGTTAGTTAACATTTCTAAGCTTCCTTTTGTAAACTAGGATAATAATATCTAATTTCATAAGGTTGCAGTGAGAATAAATGAGTTAATGTAAATAAAATTTATAGGCACAATGACTACAGTTGTGACTGAACTGAGTAAGAATAAATAAGTGATAATTAACAGAAGTGTAGTGACACAGCACTAGGCACTATGGATTCCAGAATTCTGAGGGACTATATTTTCATTTTTATTTCTGCCCTAACTTTTCACATCTTTAGAATTAACTCCTGTTGTCATAAATCTCCCTTCGCCAGTCCTGAATAGCAGATTTCAAGTAAGGTTCTTTTACACGGAATCAGTGTAGGGACTCTGACTCACAAAATTAATATTGATAAGGATGAAAAATAACATGAAAGTCCTCATATTTATGTGGGATGAGATTTAATGCTCCTTTTATATAACATCCAAGCCATCAATAAGTGATAAATATGCTAATTAAGCAGCATTCCATAGCTACACTTAAACCTCACATTTAAAATACTAGCTGCGGGCCTGGGAGATCAGGAGGCAGGCAGGAGGGGCCCTCCAGGAGGAGTGGGAGAGGAGTGGAGGTTCATTGCCACGCCCACTCAGTCCTGGGGAGGCTGCTGAGCTCCTAGGCCATCCCCTGCCCTCCAAAGCCCCCTCCAGGCTGCGTGGTTCTTTGGAGGCATAGGATGGAGGCTGGGGAGATCAAGAGAGGCAGGAGGGAGGGGCCCTCCGAGGCTGGAGGAGGAGGAGAGGAGAGAAGGGCGTTTGCCCCGCCCACTCGAGCCCAGGAAGCCTGCTGGGCTCCCTGGTGAGGTCCCCTGCCATCTGAGACCAGGGCTGGGGGCACGCCTGGGCCCCTTCTGTTCCTTGAGCCTAAGCCCCACCCACCACAGCCCCCAGAGCCTTTTCCATCCCTGTGGGTCCTGAGCATTGGCCCTGCCCACCACCCAAACCTCACCCTTGCTTAGGCCCTGCCCTCCATAGCCAAGGCCTTTTTGTTTTTTTTTTCTTTTCCCTCCTTCTCTTTTTTACTATTGTGGTGCTGATGTACCTCCCGGTTGTTGATTCATCTATATTTTTATTTTATATTCTTCCTAACATATCTGTTAGTTTCCTAGTCTAATGTTATTTTTTACTTTGTTTTTTTCTTTTTTTTTTTTTTTGCTGCCCCAGGTGGCTTGTGGGGTCTTGGTTCACAAGCCCAGGGCCAAAGCTCTTGCAGTGGGAGCTCTGAGTCCAAACCACTGGACTAACGTAGAAAGACACCACGGAATATTCATTGGAGTGAGGTCTCATGGAGTTCCGCATCTCAGCACCAAGATTCAGCTCTACCCAATAGCCTACAAACTCCAGTGTTGGAAGCCTCAGGCTAAACAACCAGTAAAACAGGAACACAATCCTACTCAAAAAAAAAAAAAAAAAAAGAGACGGTAAAAAAATATGCCACAGATGAAAGAACAAGGTACAAACCTACAAGACCAAATAAATGAAGAGGAAATAGGCAATCTACCTGAAAAAGAATTCAGAGTAATGATATTAACGATGATCAAGAATCTCAGAAATAGAATGGAGGCATGGATTGAGAAAATACAAGAAATGTTTAACAAAACCTAGAGAACTAAAGAACAAACAAACAGAGATGAACAACACAATAACTGCAATGAAAAATACACTAGAAGGAATCACTAACAGAATAACTGAGGCAGAAGAATGAATAAGTGAGCTGGAAGACAAAATGGTGGAAATAACTGCTGAGGAGCAGAATACAGAAAAAAGAATGAAAAGAATTGAAGACAATCTCAGAGACCTCTGGGAAAACACTAAACGCACCAACATTCAAATTATAGGGGTCCCAGAAGAAGAAGAGAAAAAGAAAGGGTCTGAGAAAATATTTGAAGAGATTAGAGTTGAAAACTTCCCTAACATGGGAAAGGAAATAGTCACCCAAGTCAGGAAGCACAGAGAGTCCCAGACAGGATAAACCCTAGGAAAAACACACCAAGACACATATTAATCAAACTAACAAAAATTAAATTCAAAGAAAAAATATTAAAAGCAGCAAGGGAAAAGCAACAAACAACATACAAAGGAATCCCCATAAAGTTATCAGCTGATTTTTCAGCAGAAACTCTGCAGGCCTGAAGGGAGTGGCAGGATATACTTAAAGTGATGAAAGAGAAAAACCTACAACCAAGATTACTCTACCCAGCAAGGATCACATTCAGATTCTATGGAGAAATCAAAAGCTTTTCAGACAAGCAAAGGCTAAGAGAATTCAGCATCACCAGACAAGCTTTACAACAAATGCTAAAGGAACTTCTCTAGTTGGGAAACACAGCAGAAGAAAAAGACCCACAAAAACAAACTCAAAACAATTAAGAAAATTGTAATAGGAACATACATATTGATAATAACCTTGAATATAAATGGATTAAATGCCCCAACCAAAGGAGAGAGACTGGCTGAATGGATACAAAAACAAAACCCATATATATGCTGTCTATAATAGACCCACTTCAGACCTAGGGACACATACAGACTGAAAGTGAGGGGATGGAAAAAGATATTCCAGGCAAATGGAAATCAAGAGAAAACTGGAGTAGCAATACTCATATCAGATAAAATAGACTTTAAAATGAAGACTGTTACAAAAGATAAGGAGGGACACTACATAATGATCAAAGGATCAATCCAAGAAGAAGATATAACAATTATAAATGTTTATGAACACAAAATAGGAGCACCTCAATACATAAGGCAAATTCTAACAGCCATGAAAGGAGAAATTAACGGTAACACAATAATAGTAGGGGACTTTAACACTCCACTTACGCCAATGGACAGATCATCCAAACAGAAAATAAATAAGGAAACACAAGCTTTAAATGACACAATAGACCAGATAGACCTAATTGATATTTATAGAACATTCCACCCAAAAGTGGCAGATTACACTTTCTCTCAATTGCTCATGGAACATTCTCCAGGATAGATCACATCTTGGGTCACAAATCAAGCCTTAGAAACTTAAGAAAACTGAAATCGTATCAAGCATCTTTTCTGACCACAATGCTTGGAGACTGGAAATCAATTACAGGAAAATAACTGTAAAAAACACAAATACATGGAGGCTAAACAGTGCATTACTAAATAACCAAGAGATCACTGAAGAAATCAAAGAAGAAATAAAATAATACATAGAAACAAATGACAATGAAAACACAATGACCCAAAACCTATGGGACACAGCAAAAGCAGTTCTAAGAGGGAATTTTATAACAATACAATCTCACCTCAAGAAACAAGAAAAATCTCAGATAAACAATGTAAGAGAAAGAGAAAGAAGAACAAAGAAAACCCAAAGTCAGTACAAGGAAAGAAATCATAAAGATCAGAGCAGAAATAAATGAAATAGAAACGAAGAAAACAATAGCAAAGATCAACAAAACTAAAAGCTGGTTCTTTGAGAAGATAAACAAAATTGATAAGCCCTTAGCCAGACTCATCAAGAAAAAAAGGGAGAAGACTCAGATCAACAGAATTAGAAACGAAAAAGAAGTATCAACTGACACTGCAGAAATACAAAGGATCATGAGAGATTACTACAAACAACTATATCCCGATAAAATGGACAACCTGGAAGAAATGGACAAATTCTTGGAAAGGTACAAATTTCCAAGACTGAACCAGGAAGAATTAGAAAATATAAACAGACCTATCACAAGTAATGAAATTGAAACCATAATTAAAAATTTAACAACAAACAAAAGTTCAGGACCAGATGGCTTCACAGGTGAATTCTATCAAACATTTAGAGAAGAGCTAACACCCATCCTTCCCAAACTCTTCCAAAAAATTGCAGAGGGAGAAACACTCCCAAATTCATTCTACAAAGCCACAATCACCCTGATACCAAAACCAGAAAAAGATATCACAAAAAAGGAAAATTATACACCAATATCACTGATGAACATAGATGCAAAAATCCTGAACAAAATACTAGCAAACAGAATCCAATAGCACATTAAAAGGATCATACACCATGATCAAGTGGGATTTATCCCAGGGATGCAAGGATTCTTCAGTATATGCAATTCAGTCAATGTGATACACCACATTTACAAATTAAGGAATAAAAACCAAATGATCATCTCAATA